AAAAAGGAAAAGGACCTACACTGCCGTATATAACTAAATCATTTTTGAAAGTAAAACCAAATTTTAAAATGGAGAAAACGAAAAAACAATTTCAAGAAATCTATTTTTTATTCTTGTAGATTTGACTGAGATTTTAAAAACATTTTTAATAGGTGAGGTAAAAGAAACGTAAGAATAATGTAACTATTTTTGTCCCTATTGATTTTTACTCCACAATTATTTATTAAATTTTTATTTGGAGTTCAATAATTATAGAGTGGGAAATCGGACCATCGACCTAAAAGATGGTTAATTAGGTACCTGATCCACTTGAACTATGTTCAAATTGATAACTATTTTAGATTGATCGTGTATTATTAAACATATGTGTTTATATGAACGTATATTAGAATGTTTTTTCTAAAGAAGAAACTCTTCATGGGTTTGCTGAGGCGAGTATTCCCTATTTGATAGAAAAAAATTAATGGTAAAATAATAGCAAAGATATATGTATATATTTTTAAAAGATCAGACACTCCGTTATAAAAATAAAACAGGCTAAATACAACAAATAACTTGTAATACCTTTGGGTAGTTTTCAATTAATTTCATCGTTGATTTCTCAAAAGTTTCAATTTTATCCTCAAATGTATTTGTAATTCATAGAGAGGTGATTCCATAAAAAATATGGAAATATTTTAAGAACTAATATGTCTTTAAATCATTTTTTTGATTAATAACATGCCACTCGAAAGAAATAAAATTCTATTAAAATGAGGTTGAGTAGAATTCGAGTGACATGTCTAACGTATATATTATAGATTAATAAAATAATAGCTTAGACCTTTTATTAACATTATTCTAAGGGAGGAATCTCTGAAAATTTATAATACATTTAAGATAAAATTGATATTTTTTTCCCTTTACGAGCACAACAAATTAAAAGGTAAATATTTGAAAAAAATTGATGTCTTATCCACTAAAGCTTTACTTTAGCCTAAAATCAAGAATTTTAGTTTGTGTATAGAGTTTGCGTGTAGATGTCGAATTAGAGAGAAAACGGTAAAATCTTAAATCTTTAACCTAGAGGGCGAGGTGAAAGTAGCCCCATTCTTGTGGTACATGGTAAAAAATTGGAGAGAGAGAGAGACTTTGAAAACTGACCTTTTGAGAGAGATTCTGGTGGGTAAATATATTAAGGAAGATACGAAGGAGGCCGGAATCCGCCATGGGCGGTGGCCGGAGCTCCTCGCGGTGGCGGTTCAGCGGCCGGAACAGCTCCTCGGCTTCACCTTCCAAGGCCACCAACTCTCGGCCGCCACGGGCGAGTGGCAGAACTTGGACGGCGGAGAAGGCGACGTAGGCGACGTCTCCGATCAGCTCCGCCGTAAAGGTCTCCGGCGCGGTGGCGCTGCAGAGACTCCACGACTGCGAGAGAAGAGGACTCGAACCCAAGAGGGCGGCCATAATCTCGCACGTCTCGAACCTGAAAACAAAAAATGTTTTTTAACTAAAGAGATCAGAAAGTTGGAAACTAGAAGTTAAATTAAGAGAGAGAGAGAGAGAGAGAGAGAGAGAGAGAGAGAAGAGAGAGAATTGAATTACATTGAAGCTTCGGACTCCATAGATGAAAGCTTGAGTTTTCTTTTCTCTCTCTTTTCTGTAGAGAAATTGAGTGGAAATGTGGTGGGGGTTATTGGGGGAGTGGGTTTCTTCTTATATATTGCTTTCTTTTTTTGTTTGTTTGTTTTCATTTTGGTTGAATATTTGATATCCTAAATATATATATTTATATTTATTTTTCAAAGTGGAGCATAGCGAGATGACAACGGACGGGCAGGACGAGGGGCCATACCCATCCCCGCCTCATTGGGGATTTTTTCCTGTTCCCATCTCCGTCCTCGAAATTTTTGGGGGCAGGGATGGGGCGGAGATTCGTTGATCAGGGACGGGTTCCCGTTATAAATATGTATATTTTATTTTTTCTTTTAATTTTTAATTTTTTATATCTATTTTTTCGTATTACTAATATAATAAGGGAAGAAAAAGTGGATAAATAGGATATTGGGCTTGGACTTCTTTTAAAAAAATAATAAAAAATATTTATAAAAATTAACATATATTAATATTATGATATATAAAAAATATAAAAGTTATTAAAATACTAAACAGGGACGGAGACGGAGCGGGGAGACCTCCCCCATTCCTGCCAGGGATCCTGATTAGGATTCTCGATTTGACCTCGTCCTCGATCAAATCGGGGATTCCTTGACTCGATTGGGGCGGGTACTTGCAGATTTTTTATCATCTATGGATAAGACATCTAAATTTAAGTTGATGGTTTAACGTCCTCCCCTTTTGCAATTTTTCAACTAAAAGAATCGATAAATATATGTTTTAGTCAAGGTTTTAAATATCACAATCTCTAAGTTGAAGATATATGCCAATTACCGCTGAACTATACTTGTTTTGGCTAATTAAGTTGTATTTAATGATACTTTGTTGATATTTTTTCTTTATATTCCGTCGTTTATTTACTATATAATAGAAATGTCGATTTTGAATCTATTAAAATATGTCAGTATCTAAGTATTAACTCTGGATAAAGACTCTATTACCATATATATCATCTCAACTCTCGATGGTATGTTTAGTTTTTATCCCATAAATTTGAATATCTAACTTTAAGCGAGGGATGAAGTAATTATAATTTACCACTAAATCGTGCTTTTATGTTAATGATGATGGGTGAAGTTGGAGAAAGGTATTATTTTATGCAAAGGCCCATTGCAAAAAATATAATAGCATTTTTGAATTAGTCTAATTTCTTCAACAATTTGGGTGTATTCTACTAATGGGTCAAGTTATAGAAATAGGGGGTGAATTTTTTATTTTATTTTATTGGGTGGACATGTCTATTTTATCATATTTAAAATTTAATTAATAAAATCTATTTTGATGTTATATGATTTTGCCAATGAATTTTAGTGTTTCTTTAACCATAAAGATTTTTATTGAGAAAATTAAAATGGATATATAAAGAGATGAAATTCAACTTCTTTTTCGTTCTTTTAATCATATTAAAGTTGAACTTCTTGTTGTTAATTAACAAAAAGGACAAAATAGTACATCTTCAAACATGTGGATAAACGTGTGACATGGAATGTATCATATAGAATCATAGATTTTTAAAATAATTATTTTTTAAAATTTAAAAGATTAAAATAAACATTTTGAGAATTTTAAAATAAAAATGGTTATTCTTTTAATTTAAAGACTAAAATAAATATTTTGAAAATCAAATAATCTAAATAGAATAAATCTAATATGAAATCTAAACCACAATATTTCAAGATTTTGTTTAATGTTAGAAATAGAAATATATTTTGTTGTAAATTTAGTTGAGTTTGAGTGTCCCTTTTTTGTTTGTTTGTTTATTTTATTTTATTTTTATAATAAGGTAATTGAGTGAACTTTTTATTATTCGAGCAATTATATATATATATATATATAGACACACATTTTTTGATGATGAGCAAAGTTTTGAAGGAAAAAGTTTAGGTCCCACCACGAAAGATATGGCTATCTAATTTCAAAGAAACTTTATGACCTCATTTAAAAATATTATTATAGTTTTTTATTAAAATAATAATAATTACAAAAGTAGAATTTCAAAAATGGAATGGCAAGCATAGCCCTGGTTAATCTTTTAACAATAATAATTAATTTACGTAACTTTTTGTTTTATAAGAAATTAATTTATGTGCCAAATGGAGCATAGCTCAAAATAGTTAAGATACCTATCTTTGATCGAGAGGTCATGAATTCGAACTCCATTTCCACATGCTGTATAAAAAAAAGAAATTAATTTATGTAATTGATAATTGATACTTGACATTGATTGAGGTAATAATTAGGATGAGCTTGATGTATTTTTAGTGTAAACATTTTTTTTTTCTAATAATCCTTTCTCAAATGTTTGGACCACAGGAGAATCTATTATTTTAAAGTTGTTTTCTGGATAATCACCTTTTTGTTTGCTTTGTTTTTTTTAGTTCAAAGCTGTGAAGGTGGGAATTGGAATATCTATTATTTTAATTAAGAATATATGTTTTAATGAGTTGAATTATGTTTGTATTTCTTCACAAATGACTTTTATTTACTTATTACAAATATGGTAGATTTATGAAAAAAAAAACACAGTTTTCATCTAAAGTCTCTTAAAATCTATTTTAAATACACTCTAAATTAAAAAAATTTTGTTTTACAAAAGTGTAAATACATTAAGAGTAAAATTAAGAATTTAAAAAATATATGAAGGACTGAATTGAAAACTACCTAAAAGACTAGAGATCATTTGATAAATTTAGCCCAAGAAAGTTGCTAAGGGATATTGGTAATATTATTCTAATTTTTAAGAAATATAAGCGTTTAGTAAATTTGTTCATGTTATTACTGTTTCTAATTTTTAAGAAACGTTTAAAAAGAATTGTACAAATATTGAGAAAAAACAAAATAAAGTTTCTTATTTATGCTTCTCGTTTCTATTAATTATATGTTTTTATTTTTTTTACTATTAATTATATGTTTTTAACTTTTTGTAATAAAAAATAATAATAAGAAACAAGGAGAGAATGAAAAATAGAAAACCAAAAAAGTTAAAGAAAAAGATTCTATGTGAAATAGTCAAGTGGAGGAAGAATTAGATATTAACATCATGATAAATATAGTGCATTCTTCAATTAGTTTGAGAGTGTCGTGCGGTGTGGTTTTAGATTTTGTACGTCTATCCCTTTCTACAATTCATACCCTCGTCCGCCTTCAAGTCCTTTGTTTTTTTTTTTGCTTGCTTCTACGGCTGGCGGGCCCAAAGCACACGTAGTCAGGAGCGAGTCAAAAATTAACTCAATAACGATTGTGGCTATGACTCTCTCCTCGTACCTCAACCGCTAATACAAGCATTCATCTAGTTCCATTCTATACCCTTCCCTCTCCTTCGTATCTATTGATCGCTATCCATTTTCCTTGCATCCATTTTGGGAGCGGAACTATATCAAAAAAATTTCAAATTGATATCAGTCTTCTATGATCTCACCCTCCCTGTTCCCCAGCAACTTCAAGGCAACCAAAGGGAACGTAGGGGAAGATAGAACTCCTCATTCTCTCTTAAATAAAGCTCGCCCTCGAGCTTTTAATAGTCAGGGGTGAGTCGGCCAGATCTTCCCCTGTTGTTCTGTTCCCACCACGATGAAATACTACATAATATTTATTTTATAATTTAACTAGGAAAGAAAAGGAACTTTGGGATTGTCTTCTTCTTGTCTTCCAATTTTTGGAGATCTACCCAAAATGTGGCTCAATTGCCTGGACAAGAATTGTCTCCACGATTCATTGGTGACGCCGGCCGAGTCCTGATCTGGGGAGGTGGCGCATTGATCGGAACATTTGCCTGACAAGGACATTGTCACTAAAATCGGGGTAGGCTAAATATTCCTTGATTGGTTCTGCCAACTCAATGACCTGCACTTGCTCGAATTGGAATCCGTCCTTGTTCATTTTAGTTTTATCGTTAAATTTTCATAGCGCATTAAAATAAAATTTTAATATGATCTTAGTTCTATACTTGATATGATACATGTGGTTTAAAACACAAGTCAATATGATGTCGTACGTGTAAAGTTTTTGTTACATGTGGTAAGAATTTGATTAGTCGAGATTTGTTTATGTGCAAAATGTAATTAAGGATTGAAATTAGATCTTAAATGTAAAGATCAATGTTGATGCGAGAATCTGGACAAGCTGACATAGTCAATGCAATGGTCAAGGAGACTCATGGAGCCAAGCTGGATTCGTGCTCTCTTGCTTGTTAGAAAGTGATGCTTGCACGTTAGAATCTAAAATCGACGTGGTATTCAGTCAAATGCACTCTGAAGCTTAAATTAGAACTCAGGTCGGAGAGCAAAGTGACGAACTAAAAGTTAGGTGCAAAATGTTACATACCTATTAAAGGTTAGACTCTTCTTTCTATAAGGGAGAGATTGTGAGAAACGAGCTAGGACAGTTAGAGTTTGTACGGGTCAATAAGAGGATCTTGCACCGATGATTAAGATACTCTATAGGAGAGTCATCCTCCCACAGGATGTCAACGAGTATCTCACTAAGCGGACTCTGTCTTAGGTAAGGACTAAGTTGATCTGCTCATCATAACCTTTCCTCTTCGGCTCGATGAACTCAAGCTCCTGCCCAAGTCCATGCACCTTTCTGAGAGTGATCTATGTTGCTCTTATATTTTACCCATAACAACCAAAATAAAATAAATATAAAAATTTAGAGATCAAAATGAGAATGCATATGTCATTGCGATGATGATGATTAAGAACTGGTATAGTAAATTTTCAATTTTTTGTTTCATATTTCTTATTTATTGCTTTTACGTTTTTTTCCTTTTTAAAATAGAAAATTGTTTTCGGTATTTGTTTTAATTTTTTTAATTTTTCTTTTATATTGAAAAAAGAAAAAAAATGGATTTGATAATATTGGGGGTAGAAAAATAGCCTTGCCACCTGGAGAACAGAGGAAGGTTGGAAAATCATGTCTTAAGGGAAGAACTCCCAAAGGGGAATCAATCTTCATACTTAGCTACAAACGTCATGGGAATATCTCCCTACAGTGAAGGTCTGACCAAGTCTTGACCTTAGATGTTAGACAACCAGACTTTTAAGGCGACATTAAAAACCATTGG